AGTTCAAAAATACTTCCTTTGATACATCAGTTACTCTACGGTCATCATACTGTAGTTCTTGAAGATGTTCTAAAATGAAAATTGTTTTTAAAAGTTAGCAGCGCTGTTGTCGACGGTTTAATTAAAGTTGGTCAACCGATCCACCTATATAGTCTTTGAACGAGATTAGAAAATTGGAAAACTTAGATTCCGAACTTTACGGAAAAATCACGAAAAATAAAAAGCAATATTTCTAACGAAAATATCCAGTCCTCGAAGAATTACTTCGAGAGAGGTCGGATTTCCTAATTCCGTTTGTTTTAAAAACAGGAGGCGACGTCAAAGCATTGTTTAGTATTTTTCTCTAAGGAGGTTTAATTTTAAAATTGATTTAAAGTTACTTCTAGAGAAATACACAATGGTATGTGTTTGAAATATAGAAATTTATTCCTTTCCTTTATTTATTCGACTAGATTTGTTATTTCTTATTTGTTTTCTTCCTTTTTTTATTGTTTGGCATTTGTGCTGACAATCTTAACCTTTAGGCTGGATGTAACGGGTGTCCCACTAAGAATAGCTCTCGGCTGTATCTCGAATATTGGCCGTAGAACATGAGGAAAAAATATTTATAACTAATTAGAATTTTTACAAAATTCTGCCTAGATAAGGGCTACTATGAATAATAGCTTCATAATCTTCAGAAAATTTCGGACTTTTTTTGTCAGAACCATTTTTCCCTATCTGCTAAAATAAAGTGGTGGGGGAAGGTTAGATCTGTCTTTATTTAAAAGTTAATAACTCCGGACTGGATAACCGGAATATAACAAGTGAGGGCTCGTTTAAAAGAGCGTTTCGTACTCTATATAAAACCATATAAACAATAATAATATGCCTTTAACAGTAGACGCTAGGGGTCTTGCAATTTAACAAACATTGCGGGATTTCCCCAAAAAAAAAATAAATACAACGGTATATGTAATTTCAGCTGATGGTAAAGAGGAATATAAAGTTTAAGAAGTCATCTTGATATCTTTTTTCAATCCGAAGATATTATTAAAAATATAATAAATACGACAAAATTTGCCCTTAACTATCTTATTTTTAAAACACGGTATATATAGCCCTCTAGATTATGCCCATTTTAACAAAAAAAAAAGATAGGAACAGTGAGTTTATTTTAATATCAACGAAATACCAGAATACCATAATACCAGATGTATTAATACCTAATAATTAAGATATTAATAACAGTGCCACGCGTTTCCTTTGAAGGAAATGGATTTAAAAAAAAATGTTAAATTGTAAAATTTTAAAATTATTAAATTGACAAGAAAAATTATGAAATTAAAAATTTATAAAGAACCGGAAAAAAATAAATAAAAAAAACGTCTTATTAAACTGTGGAGTGTGCGTGCAAATAGGCCCTAGCTCTGCCGAAGAGATGGGGTGGGTTTTAAGCGCCACTGGCTTTGCACAGATAAGCCAGAAAACCCCCAAGATATTCTTGGAATCTAACAAGACTTGTTATTAAAAAAAATATATTAGAAAGATAAAAAATTAAGGGATGAATGAAACACTAAGATAAATTAATAGAGTATTGTATAATGATATTAAATTAAAAAAAAATGAACCAAATTTGATGACGTTGTATACTAAATTTAATTAAAAAATTGGAAAAACTGAAATACAAAATGTATGTACCTTGAACTCTGGAACCTGAATCAATATAAGATAAAAAAAAAGGTAAGTAAGAAAAGGGAAAACAAATAATAGGGGAAGATAAAATTTCAGTAAACGTTTCACTTGTTTCTGCTTCAAACAAACCTGATCCAGCGACGTAGTTGCCAAGCTCAGTGCTTCAGAGAGGATACCACTTCAGAGAGACGTACTGGAAAAAGTCCTCCTGTCAGAAAAAGCAAGCCAGAAAAATGCTTCGTAGAAAAAATCCTCGTATAAAGAAAAATCCTGGTCCAAAAAAGTTCTGGTCTCAAAGCCTGGTGGAAAAATCCTGGTCTTAAAGCCTGGTCCAAAAAAAAGCCCCTAAAACCGAGAGCGGTTTAGGTTTACGAAATAAAAAGAAAGTTACCTAGAAGGGATAGTTTGAAACAAATGGAACATACAGCTATAATTAATTAAAAAACACGTTGCAACTGTAGAAATATAGAAAATGGCATAAAAAGTTACCTTGCTGGGCTTCACAAAAAATGTAGTTTTTTTTCCTAATAGGTTGATGTCCAAATTGCTGGATTCAGAAAGCAGAAATTACTGGAACAGGTGGTGGTTTTATGTTCCTCTTCCCAAGAAAATCGACGATGACAAAGAAATAAAATAAATGGCTTTCCCTGTTAGGAATTAATTTTAATAGTACAAATCACACTAGACAAAATGGCGATCAAAAAAAAACTTACCAGCCACGAGCAGATTAAAATCCCGTATAAAACGGCTCAGAGATACTTTTAAATGGTAAGGTACAAACAGCAAAAGTATCCCTTATAGTTCTAGTCAGTGATTATCCCCAACAAACGGGTAAAACAGGAAAATTCCAACAAATTACACTGACTAAAACACCTGCTTTGAAGCTGAAGGGAAAAATGGGAAACCTAAATCGATCAGATAGAGTTCCGCTCCTAAGAAATTTGACTTATACTGCAAAGTTGCAATTTAATATTCTGGGAATTTAGAAACATTGCCAAAATAAACAATACTTAGAATTAAAAGTAAATTCCAATAACCATTCAAACATAAACATACCAAACCTTATGCCGGTGACGATGCATACACAATATTACGAAAGGATGTCGATTATGCAATCAATAATTATCAGAAAATACAAACATCAGAACCTAAAGGAAGTACTGCTCAACCTGACAACAGCGTGTGTGCGCCGAATACACTAATCTCAACTGATCTGAGCAATTCAAATTTAAATGACATTATTAATAATAATTGTTAACCTTACAATTTGCAGAAAATAAACAAATGATACATTTCAAAAAATATGCAGGTAAATAACTTCATTTTGGGCTCTATAATGAAACATAGGATCAAATAATATTTTAGAGACAATCCACACTTGATAGGAAATCTTCTAAGATAATACAAGGGCAAGCAGTACCGCAGAACTACTAGAAATTACGGCAAATAGGCTAACATTCAGAAACATAAACAAGTCCAGAAATTAAAGGTAATATTTTGGTGAATTTGATTATATTAGCATTAGATAATAAATTTTAATTATATTTTTATTAAAGCAAAATAAATTAAGCAAAGGAGAGTAAGAAAGATAATGAAATATAGCTGTAATGAATATTTGTTTATAAAAATTAAATGCAATAAATTTATTTATCAGCATAAATAAGAGTTTGATCTAACTTGTAAGAAAAATTGGTATATATTTTTAAACCTAGTTAAAGCTAAATTTGGACTGTTACAAACAAGAAACGATGATTTAGTGATTTCATGGTAGGCTTTGAAAAAAAGTTGCTTTTGACGTAATAGTATAAACGTCAAATTGTTATTAGATCAATATTTTGATAGTCTTAGCAGCGTTTTTTATGTTTTAATTGTTTTTTCAAAATGTCTTCATTATTTGAAGTAGTTGAAGTTGTTGGCATTTTGAAAAAGCAACCAAAAGATAAAAGACTATCAAAATGTTGATCTAATAACAATTTGACATTTATACTATTACGTCAAAAGCAACTTTTTTCCAAAGCCTACCATGACTTGAATCATGCCTACACTGAATCATCGTTTCTTGTTCACTGTTATTAACATCTTAATTATTAGATATGAATACATCTGGTATTATGGTATTCTGGTATTTCGTCGATTTTAAAACAAACTAACTGTTTTTTATCTTATTTTTTTCTTAAAATGGGCATAATCAAGAGGGCTACTGATACCGTGTTGTAAAAATAAGGTAATTAAGGGCTTATTTTTTGGTATTTATTATAATTTTGCTAATATCTTCGGTTTGAAAGAAGATATCAAGATGCGGTTTTCTCTGACTTTTTAAGCTTTTACTACTCTCTACTACTATCAGCTAAAATAACACATACTATCGTATTTAATTTTTTTGAAAAAAGGCGCTATATTTGTTAAATTGTAAGAAACCGCCCCATAGTGTCTAAGTTCAAAACCTTATTATTATTATTATTTTTATGGTATAATATAGAGTAAGAAACGCTCTTTTAAACGAGCCCTCGTTTGTTGGATTCTGATCATCCAGTCCGGAGTTATTAACATTTAAATAAAGATATATCTAACCTTCTCCCACCACTTTATTTTAGCAGATAGGGGAAAATTGTTTTAACAAAAAAAATCCAAAATTTAGTGATTATATATATACCATATTATATAATTACCATTATCTAGGCAAAATTCTGTAAAAAAATCTATTTTCTTATATTCCATAGCAGTTGCGCCACCTAGCGGCCGTTTTACAAACTTGAAAATAATTTCCAGCAATTTCTCATAGCCCCTTTAGTTATAAATATTTTTTTCCGTAAGCCCTACGGCTAATACTTTCCGAGATACAGCCGAGAGCTATTCTTAGTGGAACACCCGGTACATAGAAAGAACAAACTAGTTTTAGTTAAAAACGTTTTTGACTAAAACTGTTTTAATGTGATACCTCAATGCAAATTAAAAGGACTAACGCACATTGATTCACAGCATTTTTAGTAGCAACCTGTTCTGTATCTGCTACTGTGCAAATTTGATTGTGAAAAATGTATGAATTGTTCTCTTGGAAACATAATGTTGTTTAAAAGACAAATACTTTTTTACACGAAACAAAAAAGGTTTTTGCTAAAACAGTTTTGCTCTTTTTGTATGCGCTGAGCCTTAAAGCGGACTTTGAGGACTCGTGTACTTGGTAAGTACACTAATAAAAAAAGTCAAAAAAAGTCAAAGTGAAAATACGTTTGAAGTAAACAATTTTTAAATCTCTGATATGAAATTTTGTTAAAAACTAAACAACTAAAATAAGGTTATTACTAAAAATAGATAGAAATTCTTACCTGTTGTAAATGTCCATATCCTGGTGTTTCTTAAGAAGATCTGTTCCTTTATAAATATCAGTCAAATCAAAATGTACTGCAGATTCTTTATCACTAAATCCGATGCTACTAGGCACTGACAGCACTCGCACAACAATGTCAGAAGATAAACACGCTTCCTCTATACTGGTCTCTTTATCACTTAAAATATCCTCTAAATCACAACTAGTACATGGTTTTAGAAGATGTATTAATAAAGTTACGACCGATATTACTCTGATTGTTGACATTATTTAAAAGGGTTAATGTTTTCTCACTTTCATATTATCTGTAACAAAATATTTAATAAATTGATGTTCTGTTAGCTATAAAATAAACTACTGAACTTAATTATCGCAAAGCTAAAATAATATTAAGTTGAAAAATAGGACACTTTGAATACTCTGAATTACGTTTTTAAATAGTTTGGATACTGTAAAGAAAAATTCGAAACAAAAAGCCTACCTGCTAACATGCAATTTTCAGTCGGCCGAATATTTAGTTGCAAAAGTGAAAACAATATATTCTTATGAAGCCGATCCGCCGACTATTTAATTGTATGTGACTGAGGCTCTACCTGGTGCGTCTCAAAAGTAACTCACCCCTATAACTTTTTCATTTTTTTAGATAAAAAAAAAACGAAATCTTTTATGTCTCAATTGCTTTTGGTCACGTCCGGTCCTGTTTTACCGGAAATGACTACAACCTTTGATTTTTAAACGGTACCCTCGGTATTTTTTTACTTTATTCTATAGAAAATGACACTCTGAATAGAATGACATATCATCTGTCAACTTTTGACATTTTTGCTTTAAAAAATCGTATTTTAAATTTCAATCTAGAGTGCCATGGCTGTGTTAAAACAATAATTTTTAGTTTATCAAATGGAACGAGGGTGACTCATTAGAATATTTGAAAAAAGCATTTTTTACGAATAATTTGATACCACACACTTGGTATTTTGAGCCAAATTGTCGTTATGAACCGCATTACAATTTCAAATACACAATATGTAAAAATGTCAAAAGTTGCCATGTGATATGTCATTCTATTCAGAGTGTTATTTTCTATCGAATAAAATAAAAATATATCAAGAGTGCCATTTAAAAATCAAAAGTTGTACTCATTTCCGGTGAAGGAAGTGACCAAAAACAATTGAATACGTCAATCAATAATAACTTATGTCATATACTTACATACCAAATACAGTATTTTTATCTGAAAAAATACATAAGTTATAGGAGGTGAGCCACTTTTGAGACGCACTCAGTATAAGAATATATTGGTTACAAATCTGCAACTAAATAAAAATTGTATTGTTTCCACTTTTGCAAATAAATAGTCGTCCGTTTAAAATTGCAAAATATCAGCGGGAAGCCTAATTATGCTAAAAAAACTTGCAAAAGGAAAGCGGAAAAATGCATGGTTCATTTAGAAATATGTAATAATTACTTGCATACTGCGATTGTAAGAGTCTTGTTTTCCGTTAAAAAAATTGTTAATATTAAATTGTGTTATTTTAAGGAATAATATTCTATTTGAATCTCTAATTGACTTTTCTTGACCGCATCACAATGGAAATTATAAAATTGTCGTTCCTAGACGATGCGGTTTGCATTGTTGATGATTATTTTGACTGACGTCGCTATTTATCAAAAAATATTAAATTCAGATTATAATTGTGTGGAAAATATTTCTGGGACTGAATAGAAGGAATGAAGAATTATACAGGTGAGTGTATTTTGTTCACTCACGGGCATTACTGGGATTTGTATAGGAGTAGTTTAATATTATTTAGTTAACAGTTATCACTGAGCTTTAGTAGTAGATAGAGAAGGGTATTTTAGTATTACTTTTGTGTGTGTGTCTTTTATAGTAGACAAGTATTTATCAAAGGGCATTTTAATATTGTTTAGTTAAAAGATAGATGTTTATCAAAAAGTGCTTTAGTGTTATTTATTATAGATACGTAATGGACAGCTATTTATCAAAGAGTATTTTAGTAATATTTATTGAGTGTGATTTATAATACCTGGGAAATTATCAAATGGTGTTTAGTATTATTATTTTGGAGTGTTTTATATTTTTACCAAACCAAACCAAACCTAAATTGTTTAACAACAACATTATGCTATGTCGCTTTGTGGCCATCCCTTTTGTGCGTGGGACAGACGCCTTGTCGCTTAGCTGCGGAACAACAATATTAAGCTATGTCGCTTTGTGGTCATCCCTTTTGCGTGTGGAACAGACGCCTTGTCGCTTAGTTGCGGAACAACAACATTATGCTATGTCGCTTTGTGGCCATCCCTTTTTCGTGTGGGACAGACGCCTTGTCGCTTAGCTGCGGAACAACAACATTATGCTATGTCGCTTTGTGGCCATCCCTTTTGCGTGTGGGACAGACGCCTTGTCGCTTAGCTGCGGAACAACAACATTATGCTACGTCGCTTTGTGGCCATCCCTTTTGCGTGTGGGACAGACGCCTTGTCGCTTAGCTGCGGAACAACAACATTATGCTATGTCGCTTTGTGGCCATCCCATTTAAAAAAATACAACTTTGATATTTTTTATTTATTTGGGACACTCTGAATCTTGTAAAAATATTTTTAAATTGTAGCTCTAATAGTCCTTCAACGAACCCCAAACTTACAATTTGTAAAAATCTCATCGTTTAGCTACAATACTCCGTGTCGTATGTGGTGAACAACCCTGTATACTCGATTATGATGATATGATCATGTGCGTTTTCCAGTGTTGCTCGAGTATATTTTATTTTTTTGGATTGCAAATTGCGTGATCATAGAGTGAGAGCATTACACAAGTGTCCCGGCATCTAAGGTGAGTTTAGCTTCTTTTGTTTATGTTGTTTGAATATAAAATTGATATTAACACCATTCATATATGAGCATATATGAGCTATATAAATAAAAAAATAATATTTTATTTTTCTTACTCGCTTTTACACGATAATTATTATGAGTAGTGTATTTTTTTATTAAACTATTTAACTAAATATTTCATATTTTCAATATAAAATTAAAAAAAATATCGGAATATTTGGCTGATGTGTATCACTCCACGTAATAAACATTTCAGTTCTACACTAAAGCATTAAAATTAATATTTGCGACGCGGTTTGTAATCTAAAAAGAATTTAATTTCCAAGGGAAAAAGAGGCACACGTAACGGGCGACAAAACGTAATCTCTTCATAACTCGGCTTTATACGATTCCCAGTCCGTTCACGAGCGCTAAAACGTTTTTATATTCACGATATTTTCCGAAAGGAGTTTTGTTCTTTATCAAATATAAGGAAAGCAAATGGCATAGAAAGGACCCAGGGGTGTTGTTTAGACTGACTAAGACATGCCAGTTTTGGTTATTACTCGTATAATTTAATTTTAGTTGGTTAAAAAATATAGAAGAAACTATATTTTCAATTTAACTTTAAGAACAGTAGGTTTATATTTCTCAAATATTATTATACCAATAGCCTTCTATTTATATACTTCACTCAAAGGCGCTGCAATAATTAATAGAACCATCTTATGAGGAAGAAAACGATGAGCACCTACGCAGGAATCCACCTGTACGGCACCTTAAGAAGAAGAATGAGTCTTTTATTATTAAAAATAGAAGGAGAACCATTTAAGGCGTTTTATAGAATGTTTAAAGACAATTTGAATTTCTAGTTAAAAACGCTTGTTAATAAAGTAACACTAAGTTGTTTAAGGTGGTTGTTTTAAGGTGTTTATACAATGCAAGTAGCATTTTTGGCACATTTTAGGTAATGTTTATAATAATCGTAGGCCAGTCGGCAAGTGCATCGATGGCGGGAGCAAATCCGGACAAGCTGGAATAAGTTTTATTTTGTTTAGTTTGGTGTCGAGAAGCACGTATTAAATTTGCACTCCCCGTAAATCCCGGATTTGGCCGCCGACTTGGAAAAATTGGCTAAAATTTGGTTTATTTTTCATTATTTATCAATAACTCGATTTCTATTAACTTTAGTGCAAAATATGTAGAGACCAAAATTAAAGAAGAGGAAAAACTCTATAAAAAACGTTGTATGGTTTTTTTTTCGTGCGACTACCCAAAGTATCGAATTTTACGAAAACAAAATTATAGTTTGATATAATATACGTGTTCAATATATCCGTGGTTAACTGTACTTGTTTCCACACCACCTTGAGCAGCACCCTCAAGACATAAACCCTAAAAATTGGTTGGCAGTAGCCTGCTGTCGCGGTCATAATGGAAGAACGCGATTTGCATTATGACCGCAATAACGGACTAAATTTTTATTGTTGCGCGACTGGTGGAAAATCAAGTTTAACCGCCTTATCTGAGATGCCTTGAAATAAAAAAGTACCCGGCGCGTTTCTTTTTGAGTGGTCTCCCCATTTCCAATAGGCCTAATCCACATGTCGTCAACTTAGGTTTCTTTTGAGGTGGAAGGTTCATCAGAGTTCCTTCGTTTTTTTATGTTACTGGCTGTTCAATATAATCTTCCTGAATGTCTTCCACATCTGTATCATATTCCGGATCTGGTTCATAAGGTGCAGAATATTCTTTTCGTAGATTGAAAATTGGATAGGAAAATTGTCCTCGTACTGATCTTGATCTAATGTTGCCACCTCCAAATTATTCGAACTATGTTGAAAATAGTTCCAGATGTTAGGAAAGGAGAATGGTATTTCTCTGATGTAGATCTAAATACACCAGTTTTAAATTCTATCCAGTCACAAACTGACTTAGGGACAAATGACTTAACATCTTAACCAAATTGTTAATTCTTATTTTTCAAGTTTTGATAGCAATGCTTTAGGTTATACCACAGCAGTTCAACATAAGATTCGTGTTACACAGGAAGATCCTATTAAACAACGTTATTATCCAGTATCACCTTTTAAACAAGATATTATTAATACCGAATTAGATAAAATGTTAAAGTTAGGGGTTATTGAAAAATCTTCTAGTGGTTGGTCTTCACCCGTGTTATTGGTCCCTAAACCAGATAAAACTTGGAGATTTTGTGTAGATTATCGTAAATTAAATAGAGTTACGGAACGGCTTATCCTTTGCCGTACATTTCGGATATTTTGAGAAAGTTAGGTGGTGCTAAATATTTAAGTTCTTTAGACATCCAAAGTGCTTACTGGCAGGTAGAAGTTGAGCCAGATTCGCGTAAATATACTGCATTTACTGTACCATCAAGGGGTTTATTTCAGTTTACAAGAATGCCATTTGGGTTACATAATGCGCCCGCAACGTTTCAACGGTTAGTTGA